ATACTGTATAATATAATAACCCTTGTTCATAGTGTTATGCCATCTTATAGCATTCTTGCAAGGCTGAAAATTCCCATGTGTCCTGTCAATCATTCTGACAGGCCCATGTACAGGTCTTTATTCTGCCTGTTACCATAACTTATCCTAAGCCACCTTTCCTACTCCTGTTCCAGCCAGACTTAGCTTAAGACTTCTGAGATGCTAGGAGATGGAGGGCTGGCTTCTCTTACTTGATGTGCACAACTTCAGGGTCTCTTTGGGGCTTGGGTGTCTCCAAATTCTCGCTTTATATCCACACTCCCAAGCCCTCCTCCAAATCTCCATCCTCCTCTTTCAGCAGATTGGTGGAGACCAATGTTTGGCTTCTGCTGCAGTGTATTACAGTGCGAAATCAACACGGAGGCCCCATCCGCCCTGACAACATAATTCACTGACTGCGAAGGGATATAATAAAGTCTGTTTATTACAGCAATTAACAGAGCAGCGCTTGTCGGCATGCTTTTCTGGCCACCAGAAAAGTGCTTACTCCAGGTGCCCCGATTCAGGAAACCATGCAACTTGAGCTAAAATGAATCCAATTAGAGGTTTATAAAATGAAAACCTACCATCCAGGACTTAATTCCACAGAGGTAAAACCTCAGTACAGGGGCAATCAAGATGGAGATCGCTATTCTACTGGGTTAAGATCTGGGCATAGGGGAGGGTATCAAGGGAGAGTGGTTGGGGACAAGGTTGATGGGGATACATTGATTGTATACATGTGTAGAAATATCATAATGGCTCTCCCACATTAATGTATGATAATAAAAATAAGAAGCTCTAGATGTGTCTCTATTCATGGTCTTGGTCTTGAGAATGTGCAAATAATGCACCCCACAACCCAGCCATCCTGTGTGCAAGGTTCAAATCTCATTGACCTACATAGATATAGGTGGAGAACATGAGCACCATTGACTCTCAAGGGTCCTCTGCCACTGCAGTGGAGGAAGGGAGTGGAGGCAGGGGATGGAGGAAGAGGACCAAAGGCTGGGCCAGGGAAGAGACAGAGGAGGAAAGCTTTGAAGAAATCTTTCCATTAAGCCCTGTTTTCATGAGTGTCATCAAGATCAGAAGATCCAAGGAGGGAGAGTAACTTTTGATACAGCACTTGCTGAGCATGTTCAAGGCTTTGGTGTGTGTGTGTGTGTGTGTGTGTGTGCGTGTGTGTACTGAACCTGGGCACATTCCTTTTGTTCAACACTGACCATCTACCATTTGAGCCACAGTTCTACTTCTAATAGAGCTAGAAAGCTCTACTTTCTAGTTTTTAATAGGAGATAAGAGCCTCAAGGACAACCGGACACCAGTGGCTCACACCTGTAATCCTAGCTACTCAGGAGGCTGAGATCTGAGGTTCACGGTTCAAAGCCAGCCCGGGCAGGAAAGTCTGTGTGACTCTTATCTACAATTAACCACCAGAAAACCAGAAGTGGCACTGTGGCTCAAGTGGTAGAGCGCTAGCCTTGAGCTGAAGAGCTCAGGGACAGCGCCCAGGCCCAGAGTTCAAGACCCACAACCAACAAAAAAAGAAAAGCCTTAAGGACTTTTCTGCCTGGTCTGGCTTTGAAACATGATCTTCAGATCTCAGACTCCTGAGTAGCTAGGATTACTTGCCACTGGCATCTGGCAAAGGCTTTTGTTTGTGTTTGTTTATTTGTAGTGCTGGGGATCTAACCCAAGACCTCTGCATACTAGGCAAGTATGCTACCTCTTGAACTATAGCCACCAGCCCTTTTATTTTTGTTAGTGTGGGGGGGGGGGCAGGAGTGCTGGTCCTGGGGCTTGAACTCAGGGCCTGGGTGCTGTCCCTGAGTTTTTGTGCTCCAGGCTTGTGCTCTGTCACTTCAGCCACAGCTCAATTTCTGACTTTTTTTTGGTGGTTAAGTGGAGACAAGAGTCTCTTGAAATTTCTCTCCCAAACTGGCTTCAAACTGAGATCCTCACATCTCAGACTCCTGAATAGCTAGGATTACACGTGTTAGCCACTGGCAGCCTGCTCATTCTTATTTTTTTTTTTTTTTGTCAGTCATGGGGCTTGAACTCTGGGCCTGGGCGCTGTCCCTCAGCTCTTCAGCTCAAGGCGAGCGCTCTACCACTTGAGCTACAGAGCCACTTCCGGTTTTCTGGTGGTTTATTGGAGATAGAAGTCTCACAGTCTCTCCTGCCCGGGCTGGTTTTGAACCGCGATCCTCAGATCTCAGCCTCCTGAGTAGCTAGGATTACAGGCGTGAGCCACCAGCGCCCGGCCTTATTCTTATTTTTGAGACAAGATTTCACTGCAAATTTTGCTCAGGTTGTACTCTTAATTGAAAGTTCTCCTGCTTCTGACAGCTGGGATTACAGGTGTGTAACATGATGCCCAGCTATGGCTTTCAGTCTGATTCCCTAACACCATGAAAATATTTAAAGACCTAAAGCTCCTGGAGGGAATGTGGTTGTTCAGAGGGGGAGGGGTGTGTACTTTTCAGCTTGGAGAATATATGCTGTCTTGTTTTCAGCAGTCTAAACAAAGACTTTAAGCCATTTGTCCTAGCTCTTTGGTGGATGGGTCAAAGAAAGAAAAGTATTGGTTTAGATTCTAAAGCAGAGCTGACTGCTAATTAACCAAACTGAGTCCCCTGCATATTGCTTATACCAACAGGACATCTCTCTGAATCATAGATGGCATTCCCTCGAAGTTCTAACAGCCTGTCCTGAGTGGCTGGGAAAATAACCTGAGCAGTAGCTCTTCCTTGTTTTCTCTGCAGCAGAAAACATGGAACTGGGTACTTAAGCCAGGTAACAAACCAAAGGCTTGAATAGAGGCAAACCCCTGCCAAAGATCCCTCTGATTGAGAGGGGACTTTGTGTGTTCCCCTTTCACCATCATTCCTTTCCCTCCTCGGGCCTCTGGGGAGAGGTGCTGTGTTAAGGGATGAGGGCAGAAGGCAGCCTGGCCTCTCTGGAATAGAGAAAGTCAGAGCTTTGAGCATCATGAACAACGAGATAAAAATAGCAGTGTTACCATGGTGACGGAGGCTGGGAGAGTCCTGAGGATCTGTCTGGGTCCTGCTATCTCCCCCTCTCCCCTTCCTTTTGCTGGATGGAACACAAGAATGAACGGAGGGAGGTGGGAGGGCTTCCCAAGAGGGGAGGGAGATAGACAAACAGCCCACTAAGAAAACCTTGGAACTCTAGACCCTGGGGGCTTCTGCCAGAACTTAGACATCCAGAACATAGGCCTCTGGCTTTTAGACTTCCTTTCTCAGCATAAGGATTTCCCCCAGGGATGTCCTGGACAGTGCCCACCTACCCCTTCCTGGTGGGTGGTCTGACCTGGCTTCCCTGTAAAAAGATGAGGTTTCTGTTTCTTCTTTGTGATCTCTGGTTGTGACCCCCACAGGAATTGACAGAAGAGGCCCAGGCAGGACTGGCACAGTGGGCACTGACCACTCCAGGGACAGCCTGAGGGTGGAAGACTTCGTGCTGACAAGCCAGGTGTCCTGATCCTAGACTGCTCAGCAGCGTGGATGTGAAGAGTCGTGTGAACTAAGAACAGGGTGATGGTGACACCTGGCGTCTCTTGATCATGCTTGTGAGTCCGCGGAATGGTGTGTTCACTCCTTCGGAACAAGTTCCGGCTCTTGGTTCTTAAGTTCTGGTCAATTCAATCACCTCTGGGGTCAGCAGCCACCTTCAGAATGAGCAGGAGACCCCCGAGACCAGTTTCTCCAGGTCCACCAAAGGTGGCAGCCTATGGGTTCTCTTCACTGGTGAAGGCTGATCTTGGAGTTGGTGAGCAGTTTACCTCTCAACATTCTAAGAGCCGCATGTGGACACAACAGGCCCAATGTGGCCCCTGTACCATGTGCCTTCCAGTGAGGTAGGGAGGGAGCGAGAAAGCAAGTGGAGGAAGCAATTTGTCCTCAGCTAGGAGTCAGGCACAGCACAGAGAGGCTGACGCTGTCCACCCAAAGGCGCTCACTAGGACAATCCCACGAGGACAGCCTCAGTCAGTCTGTAGACAGGCCAGACTTGGGCTGAGGCCCTTCCCCTTGCAGAAGGCAAGGAAAGAACGAAGGTGGAGTGGTTCCATTAGCTTATAGACAACCACGTGAAGGGAAACCCAGGAGTTACATAAGTCTGGGCCCTGACCTGAAGGTAGTGAAGGAGAGGAGAAAGGGAGACCAAAAGAGGGCAAGAATGTGGCACAATCTGGAGTCCCAATCCAGATGCTTAGACAGACTCCCCTGGGTGTGGCTGGGGAAGCACCCTGCCCCCTGTTACCAGCTGTAGAGTGCCCCCTGCTGGATCACAAGACACCTGCAACCCCTGTTTCGGCAGCCTGGAGCCCCACTAAGCTCAGCTCCTCAAACCTACAGACCTGAACTCTACAGAGGACTTAACAACAATCTCCCTATGTATTTCTATGAGTCCATACGCTACATTCAAAAAACCCTCCCCTGGAAGTGGAGAAGGAAACTGGCACTCTGGTGGAAAGGGTCTAACCTGAGATAAGACCTCCACTGGGGTCCCAGACAAATCGCATCCCAGGACCCCAACCGGCCTCCATACTTCACCCTGCATTCAATAACCCAAAGCCCAAGAAGGACTTTCCCCTTTACAGCTCAGGGATGCTCAGCCCTCCATCCTTCTTCAAGGTAGATCTGGTACTGATCCACTAGCCAGGACAAAAGCTGTGTGCCCCCTGCCTCATCCCAAAAGCTCAGAAGCCCGACTTCGATGGAGTCGCTGGGAAAAGAACGTGGAATAGCCTCTTTCCTAGGAAGTTGAACTAGAAAGGGCAAAACGATCCAAATGAATCTTTGGAAAGGAGTGTGGCTCCAAGCAAGGTGGAAACGAGGCTCATCCGGGAAGGAACAGGAAGGCAGAGGGAGGGTTAGAAGTCAGAGGTCTGACTGCATGCCGTGTGTGGATACGGGCTGCTTTGGCTTTTTTTTTTTTTTTTTTAAATTACACCTGTCCTGTGCTCACCCAAGGGCACAGCGGTGGAAACAGGTTTCCAGAATCCTTTCAAAGATGCCGGGAGAAGCCAAGTGTCTGTCTCCCTGAGAAGGAAAACAGAGGGACAAGATAATACAGCGCTGGCCCTGCCTGAGGCCTGGATGAGGAGGCCACCAGCTTGGAGGCCAAGCACAGCCACGGGCGGGCACCAGCGGGCATCTAGACAGCCTTGACCTTGGAACCCCACCCACGTTCCCATGGCAGGGTGGGAGATATCCCGTGTCCTTGGCAAGTCCAGGGCACTATCTTGGGGGAGGCAGCTCTGAGTGGACCCCAGCCAAATCCTGCAGCTGCCCGGACTCTCGCCCAGGGTGAGAGCATCCCCCCACTCCTCCCCTTCCCAGGCCCGCATTCTCTACTCTCCTGACCTTACCTCGGGGTGAGGCCCTGTGGTTGGGACATAATACCCAACACCTCTGAGTCTCAGGGATAGAATTTCATCCTCCCCTTCCAGAGGACTGCAGGCTCGCAGGCCACCACCAGGGACAAGGGCTCCCAAGGGAGGGCTTCAGTATTAGGGAACCTCCCCACCCCCACGTTTTTCTGCCCTTTCTCTCTGCCTCACTCAAGGCCTTTGCTGTCCAAGACAGAGAACCAGGAGGTTTCCCTCTGTCCCTTGTGACCCCACGAGTGTTTATTGCTGAGTCTTGCTGTTTCCTTGAGAGTAGGGCTTCTGTGTATAATTCTTTGGATATAAAAGGAAATAACAGATTGTTGGAGGCTGGGGTGGGAGGGTGTCCAAGGAGAGGGAGGACAGAACTTTTAAGCCTTAGTGGAGCCTCACCGAGACAACCTTGATCCCCCAAATCTGCTCAAAGCCCAGGAAATGCCTGACTGTGGGCATGCGCCAGGCAGGAAAGGCGGCCAGGTTCTGACAAGCCACAGAAGGGGCCTCTGCCCTCCCCACTTGCCTGGAGAAGCACGCATTCCTGGAAAGAGGGGTTCAGCCCCTCCCGTCCTGCAGCCCTGACCTCCTCTAACAGGCCACAGTCAGATAAGCTATTCTGTCCTGAGGTGCTGGGGGGGGGGGGAGGTGGGAGTTCACTCCTGAGCACAGCGGTACCTGGGAGGATCATGGCAGGCTCACTGAAGCAACAGAATCTGCCTGAAGACTTCTGCTGCCGGTGCCCGTCCCTGTGCCCTTCTAGCACCTGAGAGAGAAGTCCTGGCACAATGACAAAGTGCAGGGAGGAAGGAGAGCAGAAAATGGGAGGGAGGAGAAGGAAGGTTGCTTTGTTTTTTCTTTCTTTCTTTTGATTTCTACCCCCTAGAAATGGGCTGGGGCGAGAGTGAGGAAGGTTGATGGGTTGAGGAGATGAAGAAAAAGGTCAAGGTCAGTCCTAGAGGCTCCCCCCGACCCCCAAGTTTCCCCTGAAGGCACCACATGCAGACAGATCCCCTTTATGGCTTCTGAGAAGGCAGGGGTGAGGTGGGAAAATAAAAGTGGGCACACAGTTTAGTCCAGGAAAGGGTTCCCACAGTCCAGCTCCTGGTAGATAGTCCTGGAGGGGGTCAGTGCCCTGGAGACAGACCTCCCCAGATCTTTGTACTGCTAATGAGCCAGACATCATGGAAGCGGGGAGAGGGGCCTGTCCAGGGCTAGGGCTGGGGAAAGGCTGCCCTGTGGTGTTGGGCGGAGCAGAGCCATCCCTTTCCTCTCCTCTTACTGCCCATCTCTGGCCTCTACCTTGGTGCCTGGCCCAAGAGGATGCTGGGAAGAGCTGGGGTCCTGAGGCCCTGCCTGGGACTCCATGCAGGTCAGGACAGGGCTGTTCCGGGGCTCTCTGGCAGAATAGCCAGTTTCTTCTCATCTAGAAATCTCTCCCCCAAGGCCACTTGCCCCTGTGGGAGGGGCTACCAGAGAAGAGTCAGAGCCCTTGGGGCAGGGGCAACTTCGGCTCCTCTGTAAGGTATGCAGCCGGTCCTGAGGTTCCCCCTTGTGTGACTGGGGCCTTTCTCCAGGGAGACCGGAAGATAGGAAGTTAATAAGTGTGGGCATGAGAAGGCCTGCCAGGTGCCCAGGAGGCCGATGCCCTCCCATTAATCAGGAGCCAGCTAAGAGAAGATGGCTTCTGCGCCCAGCGTCAGCAGCAGTCAGCAGCACAAGCTCAGCCCTGGGACCTGACAAGGCGCCCCTGGTTCTGCTCACACGGCCGTTTCCCGCTCTCTGTGAATCTCTTCCTTCTTCCTCTTCATCTTGCAGAAGCCGTGGAGGCCACAGAAACAGGCGAAAGTGAACTGGGGCATGCCCTGGGGCAGGCTGGGGGGTGCTCACCACTGAAGATCTGCAAAGGAAAGGCAGGGAGGGAAGATGGGAGGGAGAAAGGCAGAAGAGAAGCAAGCTGGGGTTAAATGTTCCCAGAATCCTCTGCGCTTCCTGAGGCAGCCCAGGCCCCGCTAGCTGCCACACTGAGAAGCAGCAGCATCCAATAACAGGCTCTTTGAAACCTGCGTTGTTTCCTCATCTGGAGGAAGCTGAACTCAAGCCCAGCTGCTGCCTGCTTTGTCCTGGCCCTCGGCCTCACCTCACACCTGAACACACCTGTGGCAGGGGAACAGGAAGCAAGCTGATTCAAAATAAGCTGTGGCTACGGCACGCGGGTATGTGTGTGTATGGGGGTGGGGGTGGGGTGTTGCCCTTTCTCCTTGCGGTCTTCAATCAAGTGTTCCAGATGTAGGAGGACGTGGTGCTTAAAGGGTCCTCCACCCAGCCCAGCCTCGGCCCAGACACCTGGAATGCAGTCACCAAATCCTTCCTTCCCTAACAGCCCCAAGGTATGCGACTGCTTTGTGCATCCTGTGCTGCTCCACGTAACTAACCCACATTCTGGGCCTCGACATGCAGAGAACAGACCGTGAGAGTTCTTCGGCCAACAGGCTACTTTATTTAGCGCCTATGCTGAAAACAGAGATTAGGAGTAGGCATAAAAAGAGTTCACATCATTTCCTTTCTTTTTTGCACTCTTACTGAGACGAACCCAGGGCCTCTCACTTGGCTTTTTAACTTCGGGCTGGTGTTCTACCAACTGAGCCTCAGCGCCACTTCTGGCTTTTTTTTTTTTTTTTTTGGTGACTAACTGGACATAAGGAGTCCCACAGACTTTCCTACCCAGGCTGGCTTTGAACCATGAGCCTCAGGCCTCAGCTTCCTGAGTAGCTAGGATGACAGGTGTGAGCCACCGGAACCGGATGATGATGTCATTTAATCTCTAGCACAAAAGTCATGTTAAGGCAGGGGCTGAAGCTGAGTTTGTCCAGGCATGGCTCATTGTCCCACATCTCTAGCTGGTCAGCCCTCTGACTCCACAGGAGTCAGACAAGGGCTGCTGTAGCACCTGCAGGTATCTGACTGCAGATAGATGGGCTCAGGCTGCCAGAGCAGCGCCTTACCCGCCTCGTCTAGGCTTCCCTGCCCTTGCACCTGCACGTTCCTTCTGTTTCCGTTCCTTGGCTCTGAGCCTGCTGATGAGGAAGCAGAAGAACTTGTAGGTTAGCTCAGAGATGGGATCTGGGAACAGGAAGGGGTGCCAGGCTTGCATCCTGACCCTGGTGAAATGGTTTCTCTGTGTAGGAAAAGCATGGGGAACAGATATGTGCGTGAAGTGAAGGGCAGAGGGGAGAGAGGGAGGCCTGGGGGCGAGGTCAGAAGGTTTGAAACAAGGCCACAGCACCTCCCCTGGTGGGCAGAGATGGCATGCATGTCCTGTGCCTCAAATGCAAGACACACCTGTAAAGTGGCTCCATCTCTGAACCTGGTGTGGCCCACGTGGCATTGCGGACATTTCCCGGGTCTGGTCAACCTTGTCCCTTGTTTCTCCTGTGGAGCAGAGGCCCTCTCCATGCACACCGTACAGCTCAACGTGGAGCCAGTCCTGTCAGGATTCCCTCCTCCCTTCCTCTCTCCATTTCTCCCTCAGCGCTCGGTAATACGTCTAATAGCTGTAATTAATAGGTGCAATGCATTTCCAATGGCCAGCTGGGTGGGCAGGAGGCCCAGCTTGAGTCAGCATGGATAGAGAGGCAGGCTGCTATTTAATAACCCACCCGCTTTCCAACACCATTTACACACCCACTCTGCTGGAGTATATATAGTGAGCAGAGAGCAACCTCCAGGATAAATATAGACACAGCCGAGACACAACTACTATATTTCTAGATCCATCTCCTACAGCTATCTGTGGATCCCTCCCATGACAAACCTAGAGAGACGGGGATCCAAACTGGGGCTTAGGTAGCCTGGGTTCTATTCTTGGCTCTGACGTTGCTATGCTGTGTCACCCTAGGCCAGTGGCGGGACATCTCTGGGCCTTCATGTCCTTCTTTCCAAGCACCAGGAAGTTAGTTAAGGCTTAACTTTCGTACTCCAAACCTAAGGAACTAGAAAGACACTGGGAATCCCATAAAAGGAAAAGGAAAGGAGAATGGGTAAACTCCTGGTTACCAGTACTTACAACATATTCACTTCCAGAAAGCTAGGAAGGAGGTCACTGGAGCTATCAGCAGCAGAAAAATGCATGGGGGAGAGAGCCTACAGTTCTTTCTCCAGTCAACAAAGCTAACTGGAGAAAGAACTCAGGACCAAAACAAGTCAGGCAAGTGTCTTTAACCTTCACAGCCCCATCCCACATCTAGGGGCACTTCAGGGTCTCTTCAGCCCACTTCCCTTCCCCAGGGGCAATTACGTCCTTCAGTGATGCTCCTCCCCTTGGAGTGCTTTGGGGAAGATGAGAATCCTGGGTTTTGCTCAGCCTGTCAGTAAGGCAGAGGTAGGGCTAAGAGGACCCAGGACCCACATATTAAAAGAAAGGTCTGCTGGGCACAGTAGCTCAGGCCAATAATCCTAGTCAGCCTGGGCAGGAAAATCAGTGAGATTCTTATCATCCATAAACTACCAAAAAGTTTCCAGGCACCAGTGGCTCATGCCTGTAATCCTAGCTACTCAAGAGGCTGAGATCTGAGGATTGTGGTTCAAAGCCAGCCTGGGCAGGAAAGTCCATGAGACTCTCATCTCCAATGAACCACCAGCAAACAGGAAGTGGTGCTATGACTCAAAGTGGTAGAATGCTCGCTTCCAGCTGAAGAGCTCAGGGACAGCTCCCAGGCCCTAGAGTTCAAGCCCCACCACTGACCCCAAAAAAAGCCAGAAGTGGAGATGTGGCTTAAGTGGTAGAGCACTAGCCTTGAGAGAAGAAAAAAAACAAAGACAAGAAGGAGAAATCCCGGGCTGGGAAGGTGGCTCAGTGGTAGAGCGCTTGCCTTGCATGCCTGAGGCCCTGGATTCCATTCCTCAGCACCACATAAGCAAAAAGAAAAAAGCCGGAAGTGGTGCTGTGGCTCAAGTGGTAGAGCACTAGCCTTGAGGTGAAGAGCTGAGGGACAGCGCCCAGGCCCAGAGTTCAGGCCCCACGACCGGACCCAAAAAAAATTAAAAAAAAAAAAAAAAAGGAGAAATCCCCCAGGAGCTGAACTGGGGTAGGGGGTGGGGAGTCACAAGTTGGTTCCCAAGAAAAACTAGAGAGCTGGTTACTCCAGTGGGATTTCTAGGTCCTTGTTTCCAAAGATAGAATAACACAGCGAGGGCCTGACTCCTTATTCCTCCCACAGCATGGATCTGGGGTGCTGCTTGCTCTACCAGGGCTTGAGCGGGCCATAACTCTATGCCCTGGAGTCAGCCCAGGCTGTCAGCCACATGCAGATCGCTAGGCCCGCCCCTGAAATGAGTGACAGCTGGGGACCCTGACCAGCAGGCACTGAGGGAGCCCTCTTTGCTGGGCTCGTACTCTCCACACTGCTATCTGCTCTGCCGGGCAGAAGTCCTGCACCTTCCCTTTCCAGCCTTTAACCTTCACCCATGGCAGCAGCCCCAGCACCAGATGGAGGCTCCCTGGAGAAGTCAGGTCCAATGACCTCTCCTTTGTGTAAGGTTCGCTCCTGGATGGTGAGCAGACTCCACCCTCCTCGCAGCAAAGTCTCCACCCAGTACCTGCGTTACCTAGGCAACTGGGACACCTGGAAGAGGTCACATCTGCATCCGCTGAGGTCACATCTGAATTTGATGTGGCCACACCTTTCTCCGCCCATACCCTACATAAGGCCTAGCCCAGGCCCAGACTCTCTCTTTTTCTCGCTCTGTTCTTTTCTAGCTCTGGCTCTTCTTTTCTAGCTCTCTCTCTACTCTAGCTCTTCCCTTTGTCTTTCCCAGCCACGTGGAGTGCCAACCTTGCCTGGTCCCAGCAGGTCCACTGAATAAACCTACCCCTTACCTGAAAACCACGTGCGTGCTGCTGCAGTTCTTACTCAGCAACCTCTTTTTAAAAACCTAACATAAATGGTGCCGTGACTCGGATAAAGGCTGAAAGTCAGGATAGCTGGGATTTCTCTGTTTTTTTCCTCTTTTTTCTCTTTTTGTTCTTCCCTTTTTGCTCTGAGGAATACCCACAGTTCTGACGGCCTTTTGCGAACCAGTCTGTCTGCGGCGGAATCAGCGCATCGATACCATTGCTGCCTTCACATTCACGTCCACACCACTTCTCTACTCTGGTGAGTGAAACTACTCTACGGCTCTCTGTTACTCAGTCTCTGTCCAGACGTGGCGCCACGCCAGAGAGCTCCTACGGCCTTTAGCTGAAAGGCCGGTCACCTCTGAAGCCGAGGACGCTTGGTTTTGGGGGCTTGGCCATTTCTCTCTAGAGGGCTCTGGGGGAAGTCGGGACGCCGCTTCTGCCTGGTCAGCTCTCCTTCACTCACCAGACTGACTCTACTCATTTAATGGGGTGCTACGAATCACACCTGAGCCGTGAAACCCCTTTGAAATGTCTCCTGCGCTCCCTGGAAAGCCAGAGAGCCTCATTTTTATGCCATTCTCAGAAGTACAGTTTTTGCTACTGCAATGGTCCCAGCAGGTCTACTGGATAAACCTACCCCTTACCCGAATACCACGTGAGTGCTACTGTTCTTACCCCTCTCTCTGCTCTTTTCTAGCTCTTTCCTCTCTTTCCCAGCTCTCTCCTTCCCAGGCCTTTCCCAGCCACGTGGAGTGCCAACCTTGCCTGGTCCCAGCAGGTCTACTGAATAAACCGACCCCTTAACTGAATACCACGTGCGTGCTGGTGCTGTTCTTACTCGGCCACCTCTTTTTAAAAACCTAACACTTTGCTAGCCCTGGAAGACTCCCCAGTCACCTGTGCCCCCACCCCAGAATCCAGGAGGGACTAAGGAAGAGAGAGACCACCCCTTTACCCCAAGAACTACAAGGATGGAGGTGCAGACCATTCTCCCACTGCCC